TTATATAATATAAGTCCATGGTCTAATCATATGGACTTTCTAGTATAAATACACAAACAATTGGCCTAGCTAACAATGTCCAATCAACATGTGGATACTCGTCTTATTAGACCATACGATGGCTTAATAGGCTATAGTCGCTAAATGGTATTACCACCAACAAATTGTAGCTACAACTTGTCAATCAGCAAAGTAGTATCAACTGCCCATTCTACTTTATGTCTAATAGGAATTATACACTCTATTAATATTTAGCTAGCTTGTATATTCATTTCAACATACTTTTCTTTAGTACTAATTTGTTGAGAAATTTATATATTCAACATGATGTTTTATATGTCTTTTTGAAATTAAATAATTATATCACTATCAAAATGATTTGTATTTGAAGCAAGATTTTTACAATAATAAAACAGTCTTTATTATGAAATACTATAACTAATACAGATAAACATGTAAAATCAAAACAACTCATATGTAGATAGTAGCACATGATAGAAGTTAAATTGTACATAATTAAGCTAGTCTATTTGTAAAAAAATAATATTATAAATTGAAATAATTAATTTCATAGGTCATCTTTTTGTAATTCTAAAAAATTTAAGATATTTTCAAAATATAGAAAAAAAGACATAATAGATAATGTTTTTAAAATAAAATGGTAATAATTATAAACAAAACATTGAATAAAAAACAAAGAGATAATTTTTCTTCTGATATGAAAAAATTAAAAAATTTCTAGAAAAATAATATTTCTATTCATGCATATCAATAAAGACTTCAAGTAAATTATATGATTTTCTTTAATAGTGGTCTAAAAATTTTATTTTTCCTATAATAAATGTTATATTTAATATTGATTACTATGAAAATAAAAGTCAAAGGAATTAACAAAAAAATGTTAGCTTTGACTAGCAATATGCATCATAAATTTTTTAATCAAATAAATAAATGTGTATATATGTTTTTATGTATATATATATATATATATATATATATATATATTTATTGATGAAATTATGATGAGCTATAATAAGATACAATTATTTCTATATTTTACAAATATGAGTGATTTTTAAAATTTTAAATCTAAAAAAATTATAACCATGAGAAAATTACCTCTAAGACCACATTAAAGATCTAGTCAAATTTATAAATCATTAATTTGAATATACCGAATTATTTAGGAAATTATACTTTCAAAATATTATAAACTTAATATTTGATATAAATAATTTTAAAATATGTAAACTATATTGTAACAAATAAGACTATTTTAAAAAATATATGTTATATAATTTTTATTTAAAAAATGATATTTTGTTATAAAAAACATAAAATTTTAATTATAAACCTATAAAACATAAAGTTTTAGTTTATACTTAAAAAATATTTAAAAGTTGGTAAATTTATGTCGATTTATGTTATTTATTTAATTCTATCATTTAATCTTTCTATCATATTTGTTGGTTTTGTTAGAAAAAAAGATGCATACTTTTATCTTTTTTTGCACATAAGTTTTTGGGTTTAAAACTAAAATTTTCTTTTTAAATAATCTTATATGCAATTTTTACCACGGTTTAGTCTAGTGTATATATATATATATATATATATATATATATTTAATTATATATGAGCAAGGGAGATTAAAAAGAATTTTTGAAATAATTCGAAATTTTCAGACTACAATATTTTAAATTATTAATATAATAATCATAATAATAATTATAAATACATAAATCAATACAAATTATCTTAAATATTTTTTATAGTTTCTACTATCTAATTTTATAATTTTATATGAATATTTGTAATTCTTTATAATTATATTGTATAATTAATTAAATATATATTTTATAATTTTTATTTTTTATGAAAACATTCTTATAAATGCAACCTTATATATAGCACCGATTACTATAATAATCATTGATCAATTCTTACTTTTAATTGAAAAGATGAAAAAATTAAGAAAATCAATAGAAAAAAATATATTATCCTCAATTATAATTATAAGATTTATATGAAATATTCAAAATAATATTTCATTAGTCATTTTAATATATTTAGTATTATTTATTTTTTAGGATTGCATATAAAAAATATATTTAAAAATATTACACTTTACATTTAATTATATAGATTTTGAACTAACAAATTTCGTGTATTATAAAAAATAAATAAAATTTATAATACATGAAAAATATTTCAAAATGATTAATTCATATTATTAATAATTTAATAAATATTAAAAATATGTAATTAAAAATGTAAATAATACTGAATCAAGTACACTTGATGCTTTAAATACACTTGGGCTTACAAAAGATATTTGTTCCATTAGACAACTTGAGAATCCTAGATAGAGAATTTAGCATGATTAAATTGTAAAAGTCTTATTAAAAAAATTTACAATAAGTGAAATCTATCCGAATTAATTTGCTATAATCTTAAAATTCTCCAACAGGCTAGAGCATTTACAAATCTAACTATAATTTCAGAGTGTAATCTTGCCAAGTAATGTGGCAAACACATTACTTCATAAACTTGGCAAGATTAACAAAGATAGTCTATAATAATTATATATATTTATATATATATATATATATATAATACAAAAAAATAAAAAAAATCTACACAAGGTATGGAAAGAGAAAAGTTCAAGTAGGTATTTTATTTGAGTATTAATAATTTATTTTCATTAAATAATGTAAATTAGCGTGTAAAACTAAAAATAAATGAAATAAAAATTTAAAAATAATTAAGGTACTATTTTTTTTTCTTTTTTTCCTTTCTGAGATTAAAAATATGTCACCTGTAAAAGACTATTATAATAGATTGAAGTTAATACGTCAAAATTAATTACCTATTTACTGAAACAATAGTTTTATTTTATTTTGTATTATTTTTATTCCTAAAAGGCAAGTTCTTAAATATATCAACAAATATTTAGAATGATCTTTAAATAAGTTAGAGGGCTTATCCTGATTCAACTACTAATTATATTCTTTTTTTTTTTAATTTACCATAGTGTAAATTTCTAATGATAAAGATTAAATGTTTTAAATTAGAAGATTATGAATTAATCAAAAACAATATAAAATATAAAATATTTCTTGTTAAAAATTAATTTTAATATTGAATTATATAAATATAATGTAATTGTAAGAAGAATTATAATTATTCTTATAGAATTTAGAAAAAAATTAATTTTAACATAAATGAAAAGGGACTTTATACTTAGATGCCTATTTTAAAAGGCCATAGTTGAAAAGCCTTACAAAGTTCTCTGATTTTATAAAGAAAAGCCCTTTTTTAGAAGGCTTGGCTTATTAGTATAATATAAAGTAAGAAGAAACAATGAAACGGAACAAATCATTCTTTTATTACAAGATTGAATATTTCAGCTTATATCTTTATTCTAAAAATGATAAGAAATATTTTGAATAGTTATTTTCTATTTTAAAATATTTATTTTAAGAATTTTTGAAAAGGCTTTTTGAATTTTCCTAAAAAACCATCTCTTTAGATGGATCCAACAAAAATTCTAAAAGAGAACACTATTCATGCCATGTAAATAAAGAATGCATTCTACCTTATGTTTTTCTCTTAGAAGCTTTAGAGGTATATATGTTTTAGGTATAAAGCTTCTTGATCTCAACCAATTAAAACATTTAAAATTTGTTGCCTCTTACCTTATTTCTTAAGCAAAAAAATGCCCTTAGATTTCTATTTCTAACTCTTATATTTAAGTTGTAGGTAATCTAATGCATATTATGGTGAATTCCAGATCAACTAGTGTAGTAAACAATGCAGTACAATATTTTCCAAATCACAATAATTCTTATATCAAAACCTTTCCTAAAATAATATGTTTAAAGTATATTAGTTATAAAGTTGAATATTTAGGTAAACAAATGGAATGCTTTTTTTGACTATTTTAATGTATATCAAACTAAAAACAAAGACATAAGTATCTTGATAGAAGAATCATTTCTGTAGGCAAAAAATTAAAGAAACAAAAAATTTCAATTTAAGTTATTAACTAATAGCTAAATTCTACTTGCTTGGACTGAATTGTAAATATTAATTGAAGAGCAAGTATGTAGATATTTATGTCACATTACAAGACAATATTGTTAGTTAAATAAATTGAATTCTTTTATATTTTTATAATATATGTAACATTTAAATATAATTGAAAAAAAGAATTACTATAATATACATAAATTTAACATGATTTTTTAAAAATTCTTACATTCTAATATTTACAATCTACAATCACGAAGATATCAGCTTTATTTAATTTTTTACCAACTTTCATTAAAATTTATAACTTCTCTAACTTTCCCTTTAGCATTCAAATGCAAGAATTCTGAGCTTATCTGCAAAGAAACCACAAAAACAAAAACAAAAACAAACAAACAATCAAACAAACAAACAAACATCAAACAAAAATAACACTCTATTCATGCACATATGTATATATATGTATATTAAAAAACACAGAAATATAGTAACTGCTTAACAGACATTCACATACATACAGACATACATAAAAGAACATGAATGAAATAAAATAACTATTTGATAATAGAAGAGGAAAACATCCATGGAAACAGCAATCAAAATTGATATATTCACACACACACACAATTCACAGAAACAGGTATATATATAGATAGATAGATAGATATGGCAACTGAGAGAGGTCGTGGAGGACTAGAAAGAATTACCTGACCGTCCACGGCTACAAAGCATCCATCCATGGGAACGATTCATCCATCCATTGGAACAAGTAACTCATCCACTAAGACAATGTATTCATCCATATTATAACACATCCATCCCCGGCGTAGTCATCGGGCAGCGCAGAGGTTGGGGGTGGCGCCGCAGGCCCTGCGGGGGTGTCTGTCTGTCTGTCTATGTGTGTGAGTGTGAGTACCGAATCTGATTCAACACGGCGCACCTGCACGATCCCACATGTCCACGCTCCGGTACCACGGCCCACTCCATTCAACCCCACTCACATGTGTCCCTCAAATCCATCCATCCCAATCACCACTTTGACCATCTGTCGACAGGACCACCCTTTACTCCCCTTCTCGCCTCGGTACTACTATCCCGTCACTTCTGTGTCGCTGTGTGTGTGAGAGTTTCCGCTGCTGTGTCTCGCTACCGTAATATACAGTTCCAGCATCGTGATATGTCTTACATAATGTTTTTAGGAAACGAAGACCAAGAAGAAGACCTCATCCATGTGGAAAATACTGGCTTTGGAGACTTCTAGGCGATCAGGTTGCTGTTGGAAAAGCTTGAGAGGTTTGGGAGCGTGTGGTAGTGAAATTAAAGATGGGCTTCGTCGAAGGGGAGTCATAACAACAACAAAGGAGACTCTGCATATAGGTTGATGGTGCAGATCCATTCTCCACAATCTTTGGTATGCTGAAGGCGCCGGTCTGTTGCAGAAACCATCCGAGGTTTCAGATCGGTGATTTATTCCGCTGATTCGAATGCTAGAATGGCTGAAAACGTTGATTTGATACATACGTTGCTCTTTTGTTTGTTTGTGCTCTTCGATTTCGTCAAGCGTTAGGAGTGTGCGCATGACCTCAGTGCAGGTTTCATGAGTTTATGAGTGGGTTCCTGGAGATTTGGCGCTCGATCCAACGAGGTTGTTGGTACTGTGAGTTATCAGGGTTGAAGATTGCTTGCTGGAGGTGGGCTGGCATTGGGGCTGCGCTGACACGGAGGGTGATATTGCCGATCAGATGCTATGAACCAGAGTAAAACAAGGGCGAGGGGAAAGAGCAGTATGCGAGGAGGCCTAGGTTTAGAGATGAAACTCGAGGATTAGGGTCCCATGTTGCGAGCAATAGTTCAGCAAGTTGTTATGTTCGTGCAAAATCTAAGAATCTAGAGGTATGTTTCTCTCATTGTTTACTCTACTCTTTAGCATCATCTGCTCTATTAATCTCTGATTATCTTACAGTTTTTGTAAAGGTATGACAATCTGAGCGCGAATGAAATTGCAGCAAGAGAAGTAATCAGCTCATGACTATGAATTCGTCCTAATAGGATTAGCTTGCTGTATCCACGTAAGCATTTGGTGATTAGAGTTTTTCCAGCGCTCTCATGATGGACTTGAAATTCATGTTATCAATTTGCGATTTCTCCTCACGAGAGAACAAATTTGCATGCTTTTGGCTGGTATAAAAGGTGGAGACTCTGCCGTTTATCTTGTCCATCATTGACCTTTCTCACCGAGAATAGGTCTTATCTAAGCAGTATACTGATAGACATTTTATAGTTTCAAGGAGCGGTAAATGGCCAATTGCAGGTATATGCAAGAGCAGGCATTTCCAAGGCTGCAGATTTTCCTAAATTTCTTGGTCCAGCTCTTGTCTGAACCCTTCAAGCTAAGTAAAACAATTATTAGGGAGCCAGGCTTGACTAAGACGTGACTTGCTCTAAAAGTATATTGCAAATATATGTTTTCCGAGTTGTCTCCTACATGTTGCGACTTCATTTAGTTATGCTATTCGTGTGCAACAGCCTCATCGAACATCTCTTGTGGACGGGTTGCTTCTTCTTGGATGTCTCTTTGCAAATCAACCGATATCAGGAACGGCAAGAATGTCGTGTATTTGCCATATCTTGTGCTGGGCCTGAAGACATGGATGTCATTGTCTCTCGGTGTGCAGCTAAATCCAACATTGACTCACGATGTTTTGGGAATTTAGAAAAGAGAAGCCACTCCTACCACATTGTTAAACGGAATATTGACAGCTTGCATCAGCGATGTGGCAGACCAATATATGACATCGACTCTCTCCTCGTGGATTCGATTGGAGCTTTGCGTTGGTCTTGCGCAGTAGTGGGGTAAATTTTTACGTAGAACACACTTTAAAAGAAAAATGTGGTTTTGCTACGTGAGAACAAATTAAAAGCTCCAGCTGCGCTTTTACATACAACCAGGCAGTGACTGATAATCCTGTGACTGACATTCGGCAGGAGCATAACAAACCAATATTCTAGTAAATATAAGAACTATCTAAAAGATGACAGGACGTAGCTACTTGCTAACATATATCTCAGTATCAAGCAACCAACAAAAAAGTATCAAACATTGTGAACGGTGGATATCCTTCTAGAAGAGTCACGTGCCAAATCTGTCAGCAATTTCGGTGTACCGCTAATAGTCACCATCTTCGCAGCTCTTCATTACAATCTGCAACTGACCATTCTTCTGCATCAACAATAACGTTCTGCGTACAAAACGAAAGAAACATTTAGGAGCAACCACCCTCTTTGTCGCAGTCAGCCACAACCCTTATAAACAAACTATGCATCCATTGCCAAGCATTCCCAGCGCTAGGTAACATTACGGAACCATTGTCGTAGTTTTCATAGCAAATTGGTACCAGTACAATGGATGCATCGGACTGGTGCCGTGTAAATAAAAGTCAACACAATCACACGGATTTTTTTTTCCGTAAATCCCTATAAACTATAGCTGTACTCCTATCATAATGCAGGACGAGAAATATGTGCAACAATAATTGTATTTGATGTGAACCACCGCAAAGCGAGAACTAAGACCAAACAATCTTCCACGTGGACATCGGAATCTCAACTCGTAGATTAAGAAACAGCTTGAAAATCCACGCTCTTCCAATCGAACTGCGATCCAGCCCATGGCGTGAAAGCGATCGACATTTGCCGGAACAGGTTCCAGTGCACTTCTGGAATTGTCGGCGTGCTTCACATTGCGCTTCCGCTCGGAGCCCAATTGACGCGCTGGATGGTGGTGGGAAACGTGAGAGCATCGTCTTGTGTTTCTGGGTTTTTCTGCAAACCCTAACCTACAACGTTGGTTTTTTTTGTTTTTTCCACTCGCGATCGTCTTTGCCCTGTGACTGAATGGTCCGTCGTGTTGGTCTATTTGATCGTGATCAGGTATCCTAGTGTAACACAATGGAGGAGATTAGGAATTGGTAGTATGCATACAAACGAGAATGGAGTTGGACAGCCAAACTGCAAAGAATGCAGAGATTGATGGTATACAATGGTTTTTTGTGGAATATGATAGCCTTGATTCGTTAATTCTTTGGCTTGATGTGGTTTTAGTAGTGGTAAAAGATGTAATCTTGGATTATGTTGTGTTGTGGATAGAAAGGAAGTTCAAAATAAATAAATAAATAAATAAATCAAAATATATATTTGGGGTTTTTGTTGATGGTTTGAGGAGAAATTGTGGTGCTTAAATAGTCATATAGTTGATTTGCAACTAAAGGTGTATTATTAGATTATGCAAGATTTTGTACATAGATTGCATGCATGCATGCATTTATTGGTAGAGAAGAATGTGTCAAAGAGATTTGTAGGATATTGTGATGTAGTATATAGATAATTATGGAGGTATTAGATATCAATACTTATATAGAATTGGTATGAAGATTAATATATTCTTAATATTTTATTTTTTTACATTTTTTCTATGGAAGGTTGAGGATTATAAGAGTGTTGCAATAATCAATACAATCAATATTAAAATTGTTAATATTTATGGATATTGTTGTATAAAAAAGTGTGTTATATCTAATTTTAAAGACTAACTTTTAAATAAGTAGAAATAGTAGGAATATAAATAAAATCAAGTTTAGTAGAAAAAATAGTATTATTTATGGTTTTTTAATTGGTTGAATTAAAAAATGTAAAAAAAACAGAATATGTTTAAAATTCATTTTTATTAAATGGATAGAAAGAAGTTGTATTATAAATAAAGGTTTTTGTAAGTTATAGCTTGTTTTGATGTTTCCTAAAAATATAGTTGTTATTTGTTTATTTGTATTTTGAATTAAAATATATATATATATATATATATATATATATGCATTTAAATAACTTAAAAATATGATGTATGTAAATCTTACAAAATATATTTTTGTCTTGTTATTGGATTGTTTTATTTACAGACCAAAGTGTTTAGAGGTAGGTATTTTAGGATGGTGGTCATTTAAGGTTTAGGGTTATAATTTAGGTTTTAACGTGAATTAGAGTTAGAAATTATATTTAAGCTTAGTAAAATTTCTATTGTTATTATTATACATAAAAAATAAATTATTAGAATACACCCAAGAATTAAGTTTCAATTGTAAGATTATTTGGACTTGAAGTTTTAGTATTTGGGTTTCAAGTTTTGACTATAAAATTTAAAAATAAATGCATCATGAGGCAATATAGATAGAAATGTGTGTAATAAATATTTTAAAACATATAATAAATATAATGTGCAATTGTGGATCTATGGTGATAAGGTAAAATTAAATGAAGGAGTGACTCTTCATAGCATATATTTTGGAATTAATTAAAAAATATTTATAAAAGATGCAAGTATTTGTATCAAGTTTTAAAAAACAAAGATTTTTAATCAATATAGAACAATACAATGATTATATGCAAGATTTTGTCACAATATTAAATATTTAAGACATAAGAGGAGATTTATGGAAAGAATTTCAAGTGTATATTAGAGCATTGGAGGTTTTATTGAAGAAAAAAAAACATATTTAATAAAAGAAATAAATACAAGAAAATCAAAAATATTATGAAGATGTTTGATTGCATATTGATATGCTACAGCAATAGATTAAACTATGGGCTTTTATTAAGAAAGTTCTGTTTTGTATTAAATCTAATTTATGTATAATTAAAGAATTATAGGAAAAAAATTGGTGTGAAGAAAATATATTTAAATTAAAGAATAAAGAAACGTTTAGAAAATAACTCTGGGTTTTGAAGGATTGTTGTAATATAATAAATGATATGCTTATAAAGCACAATCCTAAGAAATTTGAAGACAATATGTATGGTATTTTTCATGCTGTAACCTATGAAGAAGTAAAAGGTGGTGAAAAATATTTTTATGAAGTTAATTCTTATAATTAAAGAATATTTTTAAGAATATGGATTAATACATCATTTATTACAAAGGTTGAAAGACTTATAAGTTGGAGAATTTGATGCTTTAAAACTATCATCTAATTTATGGTAGTGTTATATATATGATAATATTATATACATAGTTCTTGGGACATTAAAGAATAAATTTCAAACAATGATAGTATATTAAAAATGATGTTATTTGTTAAAAAATATCTTATAATATTTTAAAATACATTAAAATTAAAATAAAACTAATAGATTTGAAGATTGTTCAAGAAATATTAAAATCACTATTGACCAAAAAAAGAGTCATCTTAGTATTTGACAGTACAAAGAATTAAAGACAAATTGAAGATCTACCGATAGATAATTTATTTGCTAGCAATGTTAGTACATTGATTATGACAACTCAAGATTAGAAAGCCATGGAGCATAATGTCATACAAATTTATAAATTGGATGTTGAAGAGTTGGATTAAAAAAAAACAAGTCTAAGACTATGTATCACTTATTTTTGTGGATACCAAGAGAAGTTACTTCATGAACTTGTTGAAGTTGGCAAAAAGATTATAAAAGCTTGTAATAGCTTACTATTAAACTTAAAAGTTATGGATGCATTCTTAAGAGAGAAAAAGAGGTTGAAATGTTAAGAAGAAGCTTTACAAAGACTAAAAAGATAAAGAGAGTTAGATGGAGATGAAAAAAACAGTAATTACAAGATTTGGAATATATTGAAAGTAAGTTTTGAGAATTTGAAGGTTGAAGAAAAGAATATATTTTTAAACATATACTGTTTCTTTTGTGATAATGTATGTCTCTAAGGCTTATTGAAAAAATAAACATTGCAAAGATGGACTAATAATAAAGAAATGATATTTGAAAAATATATAAAATTTATGTTTAATATATTGATAAATCAATTATTGATAAAAATAAATAAAGATAGAATTATATGTATGCATGGAATTATAGTTCTATAAGACATATATAGAAATATTTTTAAAATAAAAATAAAATATAAGAATATAAAAATATAAAATATGAATGTGGAGGCATCTCATGGAATTTCAAAAAAGATAATGTACTTAATAGTTATCTACATGTATTGAGGATATATATATATATATATATATATATATATATTTATCTAGATAAGAGATATTATATAGAAGGTAAATATAAATAGATTTTATATTATTTCATCGCAAAGCTTCTTAAAAGCTTCATACATACATATTTGACTTTAAACATGTTTCTAATTGATTAGTAGATTAGAAATCTAGCCAATAAATTAGCTATGTATCACATATCTTAGTAGTTTGTGATACAAGCTAATCATGTGGTACATTAAATTTAAAAAAAAAAAAAAAAAAAAAAAAAAAAACATATCTTGTAAGTTAGATATGTATCTTGCAAGTTGGACACGTATTGGGAGTTCTATAGAACATTGCCATATAGCTCCTAGTTAGATTATATATATATATATAAGAATGAAGATTTCTTTAATCTTTTCAATTCCTTTGTAGTTTTTACTCTTGTTTCAAGACTTTCTAATCTTTTTATCT